GTAAGAACTTCATTTAGTTACCATAAGCATGGCCTCATTTGCTACTGTTTTGACTTTTGTCTATGATTTGGTTTTATTTGATTCTCTTTATTGCATAAAGGGGACCTCGTTTTATATATTATGGTGATCGAAAATTAACCAAGTCTTTGTTGTGATGACCAAAATACAACAAGTTGGTCCTTGTTGTCCCGTTTGGAATGATTATTTCGATGTATGCATATCGCGTCAAATTATTGGATAAGTCATATATTTGTTTTGAAAGCATTTTCTTATTGGTTAAACCGAAAACCGAATCGTTAAAGACCTAAAACCGATAAACCGAAAACCGATAACAAATATCTTATTGGTTTGGTTATCGGTTTAGCATATTTAAAAACCGAAAACCGATAAACTGAACCGATAATACTTATAAGTTATAATCGAACCGAACCGACCGATACACACCCCTAATACAGGTAGAGCTACGATATAAAGGTAGGGACAAAATGAGAAAGAAAATTAAGATAAAGATGCAATCACATTAAATTGATTGTTACACAAAATGAGACTTTTCGTCATTACATAATGGATTTGATGATACGATACAATAAAATTTAAGTAACAATCAAAACAAATCCAAACAAGGTGTTAGAGATAATGTGAAGTTATATCATTTCCCTCCTTGTGAAGTTTGAACAATATTTCTTTAAAAAGGTTCTAAGTTGAATTTGATTACTAAAATTACATATTAAGAGTAATTGTTAACATATTCACTATTTCAGAATAAAATTTGACCTTTTGATGGAATATTTTGTTAGAGAAGATAATAATGTGTATGGAAGCTTTCGCCACGAACTATCGTTGAATTGTTAACAAATCGTTTTCATCATCCAATTTTTGTTGCAGTGATCTGTATTTAGAGTGGTTACTGGCAGTTGCATATGTAGGAGGGATTACTGCACCTTTCAATTACCGTTGGGTAAGTACACAAACGCTTAGTCTCTAATTTTGCATTTGCTTCTGACATTGTAGGACATGGGGTTAAGTATTTACTCAAATCTGAAAAGTCCATACAACACAGCTCTTGGTTGTAAACAATTTAAATATATATAAACTAAACTTCTATGAGGAAGATGAAAATCGGTAACATGGATAAGTATTCCTATTACAGAAAAACATTGATTTCTGTATGATATGTATGGAAGAAACTGTTCTGGATACAAGCATGTTCTCCTAGTAACTATTCTCAGCATGCAGAGCCTGGAAGAAGCAAGAGCAGCTCTTCAGGTAGCAAAGCCAACAATATTGGTCCACGATGCAACCGGTAATTTCTGGAAGTTCGAGTCTTATGCTGATTCTGTGCCTTCTCTAAGGTGGCAAGTCCTAATGAATACTCCTTGTGAAGGTCATAGCACTAATATTCGTATGTGTTCAAGCATTCATGACCAGTATGAATATAGATTTTTTTTAAATAGTATTTCTTCTTCTGTTTATTAATTTATCATTCTTACATCTGCCAGGATTAACTACTGAACAGCTGAAAAGAAGTTGCAAAAGGAGTTTAACAGCAGACTACCTGTGGGCACCTAAGGAAGCAGCTATAATATGCTTTACTTCAGGCATATACGCACTACCTTTCCACATGTGTATTTCCTGTTCTTCCATTTCTTTACCGTGATTCAGAAAGTGATCTTCAAATCCTCTCACACCTACGAACTGACAAAATGAAGTTCTAAGAGAAATGTGGTACTGGAAATATCTTTTTCAACTAAGGAACGTAATGTCTCTCCCACAATTTTATCTGGATCAGATTAGGAAAATATCTTGTTTCTTAGCCTCAGTAAAGTTATTTGTCTACTAGCAAAATTCTTGAACAAGAAGATGGTCATTCTGTATATTTGCTCCACTGAGAAATGTGTTGTGTAGGTTGAGTCATTGAACTGCATGTCCAAAGTAATTCTTATCTGTTCAATTCTTAAACCCTCAATCTAATTGTGCGTCTCCTTTTCTGGTACAAGGAGTACTGCTAAGTCCATTGACTTATATTTAAGATTTTTTTTCTGTTTCCTAATGACAATAGGGACCACAGGGAGGCCAAAGGGAGTTACCTTAAGCCACTCAGCTTTGGTGGTGCAATCCCTTGCAAAAATTGCAATTGTTGGTTACGGTGAGGATGATGTATGCTTGTCTGTTGTGATAATATGGATGTTACAACCTAGATATATTATCCAAATGTTTGAAACACATGCCAATTTGATTCATGTTCTTGCAGGTCTATTTACACACTGCACCACTGTGCCATATTGGTGGTATATCATCAGCCCTGGCCTTGCTAATGGCAGGAGGTTGTCATATTTTACTACCAAAGTTTGAAGCTAAATTGGCTGTTGAATCCATAGACCAGCATAGTGTTACTTCTCTCATTACAGTTCCAGCTATGATGACTGATCTGATATCTTTTTATAGGTAAAGCACTCAGCTGTTCTACTTGATGCAAAGACGAGTTTCAATAGGATTTATCTTTTGAACAAAGTTGAAGTGAATAATAACTGTATGGGCATACATATGACTGGATTATCAAGCTTTATCCTTCAAAGTTTACTACCAATATCAGTTTGTAGCATTATTTCCTTTTGGTTTTACAAGGAATACTTTTTGTGGTGTCCTGTTCTAAGATTAAAAGAAATTTGTTTCTCTTTTTGGGCCAATTTTCAGTGGTGATTGATTATTTTCTAGGTTTCTCTGCATGGACAACTTAGCACATCCACTTAGTTCATGATAAGTGCAATTGTTTGATTCTACTTTCACTTGTCATAGGACGAAGCACATATCTGTAGGGTCCAAATCTGTGAAGAAGGTTCTTAATGGAGCTGGGGGTCTTTCATCTGGTCTTATCAAAAATGCAATTGAGATATTCCCGAGGGCAAAACTTCTTTCAGCTTACGGTATGTTGGTCTTGTGACTGCTTTGACATAGTTTCCCATTTTCTCTGTACTTATTTTTTCTGAACAAATATTCTGTTGATAGCAGCAGATTGCAAGTTATAAAGTGGTGTTCCTGATGTATGACATATATCATAAACTACACATTGTGTTAGCATTACAAATTTATAGTGGCACAAGTCCGAACCTTCTTGGTGTATTCTGTGAAGTTAGCTTCATGAATATGTACTCTTCCCTAAACAAATCATTCTGTTTTAGTTGTACTCTCCTGATAAGTGTTCTTTAAATGTTTTGCAGGAATGACCGAGGCGTGTTCTTCTCTGACTTTCATGACTCTTTATGACCCCGCGAGAGAGAGTTGTATCCAGCATTCTTATGCCAACAGCTCCAATTTGGCACATAAACCAGATGGTATCTGTGTTGGAAAGCCTGCTCCACATATTGAAATAAGGATTGCTGGGGATGATTTGTCTTGTATAGGGAGGATTTTGACACGAGGTCCCCATTTAATGCTTGGATACTGGGGTCAAATGCCAAGCAATAATTCTTCTCCAACTGATGAATGTTGGCTTGACACTGGTGATATAGGGCATATAGATGATTGTGGAAATATCTGGCTCGTTGGGCGCTTGAAGGGCCGAATAAAGAGTGGGGGAGAAAATGTTTATCCTGAAGAGGTAAGCCTCCAGACTTTAATGCTTTCGTTCTCTTCATTCAATTAAGCTATCAACACAAAAGAGAACTGCCTACGTGAAATCTCTTCAGTTGATGAGAAAATGTTATATGTGTGTTAATTATTTTCTGGTAATAGAACACCATAATTTCTTTTTGCATTGTTTCTATGGGAATGTAATAGCCTGTAAATAATTCAGTGAGTTTGTTTGTGACACAGGTGGAAGCTGTCTTATTGCAACATCCAGGGATTTCTGCTAGTGTTGTTATTGGGCTTCCTGACTCTCGCTTGACCGAGATGGTCGTTGCCTGTATTAGGCTGAAAGACAATTGGCAGTGGACTGATTCAAGCTCTAATCATCCGGTTAACAAGAACGAGCATTGTTTGTCCAGCTCTGTCCTCCAGAACTTCTGTAGAGCAAAAGATTTGACAGCGTATTTTCTTTTTTCCTTTGTTGTTCAAATGAATTCGATTGAAGCAAGTCTTTCTCATATTCCATCCCCAATCTCAGCCCTCTTGAATCTTGATGTTTGATGTGCTTTGATTCATATTGACATGTAATATTTTGCAGGTTCAAAATACCCAAGAAGTTTGTGGTATGGAAAAATCAATTTCCAATGACAACAACTGGGAAATTAAGAAGAGATCAAGTGAGAGCAGAACTTATGTCTTATAGGCAGTTATCGCCCAGCAGACTATGACTCCACCATATTCTTCTCTTGTGTTTTTTTGAACGGCTAATTACATGGTAAGAGAATACAATAGAATGAAACAAATACTGAGAGTTTTATGACATGGTGCTTGGAAAATATGCAGCTGTTCCTCACAGCATTTAGTCATTTTGTTCCGTATCTCAGATTATTTAATGTATTTGTTATTTTCCCATTAAGTTGTAACCTACAATATACTGTTTTTTTGTTTCATTACTCATATACTCATACAGATTCTTCTTTGTTCACTATGTAACATCAAATGGAATAACATCCTGATTCATCGAAACTGAATGATCATGAAGTTGAATATTGTAGTGCACCTATTTCCCAATTTTTGTTATTTCTTGCTTATTAGGCATTGCTAATCAACACAGAAGCTCATCGTTGTTGCAGGAAGTCAAATGAAATAACTGAACCATTAAGGATTCTGTGTTGAGAACCATACATTTGATTAGTAGTTACTTTTGAAATATCATGCCTAGTAGGTTTCATCATTTTAGCATATAGAACACTACTTTAGTAGGACGGAAACTGCTCTGACAATATAGTAATTGCCAGTAGCTTTTACAAATTATTATTCATGGGTTATGTGTACATGAAAAGAGAACTTGTGATGATGTGTGTAAACATCTGATTATATCTATTAGATTTTTGCCAAGTCTGCTCTCACCTCAAGCCATGATAACATAGTATTGAAAACAAGTTCCACACTTTCATTTGGTTCACCTATCAGTTGATGCCACATTCCCGGGTAAATATTTATAGCCTTATCCTTACTTCCTGCCGATTTATACACAAGTTTAGCAGCTTCAGGATCACATACCTTATCTTCCCCACCTTGAAGAATCAGCAAAGGGACTTGTAGTTCATGAGAGTTCTTCTGTATATACTCACAGACTTTCAGAAGCTCTAGTGCAGTGGCAGCTGGTGGCTTCTCGGAAGCCACGCGATTTGGACTGTTTGAGATAATCTTTCTCTTCCAGCCCTCCTTGTATGATATAGATGCAGGTGGTTTGGTGATCACAATCCTCCAAGATGGTGCTATGAAGGCGGCCAACGGTAGTAGCTTCTCCAGTGGCCAAACAGGTCTGTATTTCTTTGACACTCCAAACATTGGTCCACTTAACATCAGACCATTCCATACATTCTTTTGCCTTAGACATATGAGTGTAGAAATTGCACCACCTAATGACTCACCATACAGGAAAGCAGGGAGCTTCGGGTGATCAGCACGAGCAGAGTCAAAGTACTGTATACAGTCCTGGACTAAAGGTTGAATACACGGTATGTAACCAGGTGAGCCTTCTGAGTAACCGTGACCTTGTAGGTCAAGAGAACAAACGAAAAACCCAGCTTTCACCATAGCTACTGCATTTAGCTCAAAAAGCCAACTGCTTTCGGACGTATAACCATGAATCATGCCTACAAGGCCTCTTAACTGATTACTTGATTCAGGCTGCCAAGATTGTGTGAATATCTTCATGTTTTGTTTGTTTGACATGAAACTTTGTTTGTGCATGATTTTATGTTGCTTGTAAAACTCTTCTCTTGTCAAGTTACCATAAGGGCTGTTCTCATTAGATTGGAAAATTGGGTGAGACATTGTATGACTAGTGAGTTTGTCTGTTTGTTTGTGTTTGTGTCTATTTGAGTTGATATATACACACAAATGTGCATTATGATATATCTATGTTGTTCAATAGTACTGATAGGTTGGGCGTTTAGCCTCCCAACTGTTTCATGCTGGGGTAATAAATGGAAATATGAGACATGAAATCAATTGCATAAATGTTAAGATAAGGATTTTATTTATTTCCATACCAAATTTGACCTATAAATTTCTGTTTATTTTGTTGCATAATTTTACTCACTAATAATTGACAACTCTTTAATGTAATAATTAAGAGGTTGGTGATTTGTTACATTCTAGTGATAAAATAAAGGGCTAGTTAGCTATATCCTTGGGACATGCCATGTAGCCAACTTATTATGAATTCAAAGTGAAACTCATAAAATTTTCAACTTGTTACTCTCTCCGTTCCTATTTACTTGTCAAATATTTTCTAATTTGATTTCTATGAAGGACAACTCTTTTTTCTATTATACCGTCAATTTATTATCGTTGAGTTAACGTTTTTTGAAAAATATAGTGAGTAAATATGTTTGGAATCCTCTCATTTAATAGGGATAAAATGGTAAACTCACTATATCAATCATTATTTTTTTAATAAGTGTGTCAAGTTAAAATTTGACAAGTAAATAGAGACGGAGGGACTATGAATTAAAAATGCAATTCATTAAATTTTAGACAAATATCTTGTTACCTCTAAACTTGACATGATTTATTTGGACACTTGACATAATTAAACCAAGCAGCTGAGGTAGAAGCATTATTACAATGCAATTTTTGCATTATTTTATTTTAGTGGTATTATTAGATAAGAAAGTGAATAATATTTCTTGGTGCAACTCATATTATGATCTACCACCAATTACTCATTAAAGCTTAAATCATGTTCTATAATATTATTATCCCACTAGCTCATTATTTAATTTATGGAAGAATTTGTACACCTATAAATAATGGTGTTTGATGTATAAGAAGTGTGGAAAATAATTGAAGCAAGCATGAGAAACATGACGTTGGTGTAATGAAAAAGATAATTGAAAATAAAGGAAAAAAATTACCGTCAATTTAATTTTAGAATATCTTATCTTATCCAGTGTACCAAATAATCCCTAAGTTTTCAACCTATTTGCTACAAACAAAAAAAACTGTAATTTTGTCAAAGGAAAGTGTTTTTATTGATGCAGCTTTGAAATCAATAACTAGTTTGGAGTTTTTTGAGTCATACAACATTTTCGAGCTACTATATTCTGGACGGAACAAATCAAGAGTATTACTACTCTACTGTAATAAACTTGAATCTGTTAAAAAGAATGAGACATCCCCGCTTCAATTTGAAGAAAATTTATTTATTTTCCATCATTTTTATTTCTAACTCTCAACTGTATTAATTATTTTTTCACCAAACATTTCACAAGTAGTAGATGCAAGCTGCAACAAAAAATCCTTCAAATGGGCTATGGAATTTTTAAGTCTAAATTCAACTCAAACTTTGGTATTCAAAGGACAACACATCCAAATAAATAAATAAAAAAAGATATCTTGTAATGTATATTTTATGGATACATACAACAAGAAAAATAAAATCTTAAATGCAAATCAAGCTACTTCAAAGCAAGTAGGTACAATTGGCAGGGCAAAGATTAAATAGTGAAGCAACTAAAGTTGTTGCTTTAGAACCCAAAAATCAAATTTTCCTAATGTGTATATTATTAATTAAATTTAAATTTTATATATTATTAGTATAAATAACTTCTCTATGTTATTAGGTCGTTTAATGGATATTTATATGTAAGTCTCCTTGAAAAATAAAATTTTAAAAATAAGATATGTTATTAATTTATATATATGTATTTTTTGTTTTTTTACTTTAAAGCCTCTCATTAAAGTTTTGTTTCAGGCCACCATATTTTTTTAGTTGCCTCTGTCAATGGGAAATATCATGCCTTGTCGCAATCTATGTGTTAGATTTGTTTTTTGTTTTTTGTTTATAAATAGACGTTTCAACATATATTTTAAATGTTTTTCATTTTGTTTGAATTTTGTATGAAGTTGAAACAAAAAATAGAGTTTTGTTTAGTTATATTTCCTTTACAAAGAAGAGAAGAGAGAATGTTGTATGAAATTTATGAAGATGGAAATGAAATATAGGTTTGAAACACTTTTTCAGATAGAGCATGAAATTGTATAATCGAACAATAATTTAGAATTAAAATAAAAAATATATTCCAAAATAATTTTCATGATCGAATGACTCCTAAATATCATGACTTCTTACTAATACTTTGATGTACTTTTTTTACTATGATATTTGAAATGTGGTAATTGCCTTTTTAATTCGTGATAGGTAGATAGGGGTGTGCAAAAATCAAACCGAGCAATAAATTGAACGAAAAAGTATTATTGATTTATTGTTATTGAGTTATTGGGTTAATGATTATTTAATAGTTTTATAAAAAAATAATTATTGGGTTATCGGTTCGATATTGATTTTTTAATATTGAGTTATTGGGTTAACCAATAACCCATTAAGAATATAATAATTTACTGTTTTAATTTTTATTCAGACATAAATATCAAACAAAAAATATTAATATAATCACTATATTAGACTATTATAAGAACCCTTAACATTACTTAATTAACTCTGTTTTCTGCATTTACCCTTTAGGTTTATTTTAATATTACTTTAGTCTTTAGGTTCACAACGTCAAAAACCTAAAAACCTAAGAACGGCAACGGCAAGGGTTAGGCAATGACTAGAGTTGTGATTTGTGAGTATTTACTATACTTTTACTACACTAAGTAGAATTTTTGCACTCAATTAGTAATTAGATTTCTCTCTTTTTTAATTCGCGTTAAATTGTTGAACAAGTCATATATTTGTTTTGAAAGCATTTTCTTATTGGTTAAACTAAAAACCAAACCATTAAAGACCAAAACTGATAAACCAAAAACCGTAACAAATATCTTATGGTTTGATTATCGGTTTACCATATTTAAAAATCGTAAACTGATAAACCGAACCGATCAATACCCATATATTTATGAAGTATACTACTCAATAAATAAATGAGTTTTTCTTCGTACATTTTTATTTGACATCATGAAGGAAATTTTTGATATAAAAAGAAAGAGCAACATCTCAAAAATAATTTTAAGAGAAATATATTACTTAACAATTTTGCATTTTAGTAACTACGAAACATAAAATTAAAATAATATTGATTTTTTCAAAGGTTTAAGGCCTTTGATTTGTTTTTTGTTTTTAGTTCATTAATATGCTTGATCCGTCTCTAATCTATTTAATTTAAATTTCCATTAATTTTTCAATAAAATTAATCTTTATCATGTCAGGTCATACCCCACCCGTTTAACCTTGCCCGTGCTACCCTAATTGTCATCTTTAAGTGTCACAATCGAAGGCAAGTTACTTTTCGTTCAATAATTAAGGTCCTTTATTAGTTGACTTATGATGCAATTAATTTTTTTATTTTTTTGTACTATGATGGGTTACACTAAGCCATTAAACCAAAAGAATGAAATTGTTTTGGAAATAATAAAACAACAAGAAAAAGAATAAAGTTAAGAGAAGTAACTTCTTATTTTTCTTGACGGTTAAATTACAAATGAACGAAAATTTCTTTATTTATAAAAAATTACCTTAATTCCAAAATTAGAATTCCTAACTTTTTTCAAATAAATAAAGTAAAATCAATATAATATAATAAATACATTTATAACCCATGGTTTCTTTTTAATTAGGTTATTGTCTAGACAAATTTGTTATTACCTATATAAGGCATGCATATATTGTGAAAGTGGTTTACGTTATTTGCTTAAGTAAGCGTTTGGCCATGCGATATCATATCACGATATGGTGTCGTGAGATGAAATCAGCGTTTGGACATGCGATTTTACGCTAATTTCATCTCATGATTCCATATCATGATTTCATATCATGATACCATATCGCATGGCCAAACGGGCCCTAAATACTATTTGCATCATTATGAAATATTAATGAACTTCTAATACTATTTGCATCATTATGAAATATTAAGAAGAGTTCATTGTTATGATTATAATTAGGGGTGTTCACGGGTTGGTTTGGATCGGTTATTGGTCAAAATCA